AAAATGAGTGAACAAAGAAACTGGATTGCCCAGATAAAATTGAAGTTATGAATGACACAGATCTTACAGACAGAAATGAACCAAATAACTATCACAATATTCTTCCCCTCTTTCGAGCTTTTTGTATCTTCTTTTTTTTGACAATATCTTTACGAGCTTGGATATTTGCTGACCGTTTTTCTTGTCTTCGAGTTTGCATTTGCAGTGTATGCTCAACACGATTCGCCCATTTCTTTTTTCGCCATTCTTTCATCTTTTCTTTCTTTTTTAAACTTTTTTTTAAAAGCTCTGGATCATCCTGCAAAAACGCATATATGTGTTCGGATCAGTCCTACAACAAAATTTTCAATGAAGGTACCGAGACCTCACCTTAACTTTCTGCCCTTCAACACGACTTAATGCTTTCTTCCACTGGATATTTTTTTCAATTCTCAAAGCCTTTTCAGGATTCCTCGATCGTATTTGTTCCAACCTTTCTTCTCTTTTCTCAGCTTTTTCAAGCAGTCGTTTGTAGTCTTTACCAGTAAACTTATCTCGCTTCTCCTTTTTTGTTTCTTTCTGAAACTATTAGTGGCTTAATGTGCATAAGAATGATCTGAAGTACTGAATATGGATCAGTTATGATACCTGCTTTCCATCCCTTACAATAAAATCGAATTTTGAGAAAATCAATTTGTCATCTTTTTTTTCCATTCCGCATGGTTTCGATTCTCTTTCCAGTTTCTGGCGTTTGTTCGGTACTGCCTCATCTGATGGCAGTCTAAAATTTTTTGTGACACAAATAAACAAAAAATGATAGTAATCTTTATAAATTTTTAAAAGTACAAAGAAAAAAGTTATCGGAGAACCAAAAAACTTATAACTCAAAGTAAAAATAAAGTATCAGGTTCCGAGGGATTTTAAAAAGTTCCGTCAAATCTCTTCAAAATTCCTGAAAAAAAACCGATGTAGTACGTACTTGGAATTTTTAATCTGCTGTTTAGCAACTGTCCTTCTTTCCTTCATTTTCAGTTTACTCATGCGTCGTTTCAATTTCCGTTTTTCTTCATATTGATATGCTGTCATCTTACCACGCCTTTTTGCTAAAAAATACATCAACCACACAACTAGAGAGTCACAGTCTCCATTATGATCATACAGAACTTACAAAAAGAATTTATTGGTTGGAACAATTTTCTTAAAGAGTGCAATTGCACTGAAAACTAGTGACCAGAATAAGAAAATCTACCTCTGAATTGCTCCAGTTTTTCCTGTAGTTTCTTTAGGGCTAATTTACGGCCCTCCAAAGCATCAACTGGTGCTACTATCGAAGTGGCCGAAAAAGATGAGTTACTTTCTATATCACCCGTAATGTTATCACGCACCCTTTTTCGGTTATCGTTGTCATATGCCATTCCATTTAGAGAACTAAAAATAACTAGATCGACTTGTTAATGTCTCTCACAAAGAAAATTGAAACTTTATTTCATATTCCATATTCCTAAAGTTGTGGACCAAAACAGCAAATGTACTTTAATGTTCAGAAATAAACAATTTAAACAACTTATACCTCGACCAGATTCAATCCAAAATCTTATAAAACAAAAAATATAAATCTCTAACTTCAATTCTAAAATACCTCCCACTTAGTACTGCAGCTGTAGTCGGAATGTCAGCGTCCGAAGCTTCAGGATCGACAGATTTACTTGTTTGTGGATTCATGTTTTTGATCTTGTTCTGTTTCCTCATCGCTTTTGAAATTGTTACAGGCTAAAAAGACAATTTTTCAAATCGAAAAATAAGGGATTTCTAAATTTAAAAAACGCTGTGAAAAAGAAAGGACCGACTAATAATTACAAAGCGAATAATCCAAACGGTTTCACCTTATTAGGTTTTGTATTACCACGATTTTTCGCCATCCAGTCCAGAACATCAGTGATTGTTCGACAATTCACACCTATTTCACGAGCCAGTCGTTGTTTCGAAGCTTTACTGAGCTTCTGTTTTTGTTCTGAAAACACTTCGTAGTGATGAAACCGACTTTTATTCTCTTTTACAGTATCCTTAAGTTCCTAATATCACCTGACAAATCTGGTGAGATGCAACAACATTCAGAAGAGAAAATATGATAAATCGATTTAAAATGATAAAGCCAACCTCCTGTTAAATGTTCATCAACAATCCTATGCTTCTGTTCGCGAAGCTCCTCTATCGTCTCATCATCGAATTGCCAATTTCCAATAGGTATCAAATCGATATTGCTTTTGATGATCTTATCTATTTCCATACATTTCTCCAACACTTTTTGCCTGCTCTCTTTTGAAAGCATTGCAGCTAAAAAATGAAACAAATTCCTCGTGGTTAAACTATTTTCATAGAAAAATCAAAAACCGTTTGTAAATTGACAAATAATTCAGACCTACACTTCCCGAAAGATCCAAAAAATTATAGAAAGCAGTAGCAAAATTAAAATCAAACGATATTATCGCAGACTCATTTGTATCATACAAATAATATTTGTTGATAATAACTGATTACAAAACACCGAACAGACTGGTCAAAAGTAATTTAATGAAGAAATCATCAACAATATATATATATGTATAGCTACATATCGGGATGAAGCATATACAGAGAGTTTAAAAGTAGGTTGAGATCAAGTTATGTGCTCAAATGGCAGTTAATCGCTAAGTTCAGTGTAAATCTGTCCATCCAAGGAATACTTCTAATGACTCAAATTCAAGAACAACACTTGTAAGAACAACACCTATAAGTATCATTGTTATGGTTTCACAATTTTCAACCGGCGAAATATTTCATTGCCGTATTTACACAGGACATATCGTCTGGTTTATTATTATTTACGTTAGTATTTCTAAGCAGTCGCATTAGTACATCTGGAATAACATCAGAGCATGGAGTTGCAAAAACAAGTCACAAAGAAAATAAACAAGAAACGTCATGATGGAGGAAGTAATTCAGTGCTCAATCTAGTCTGAATCATTTCAAGACGTGTTTCGAGAATCAATCGTATATCCTCAGCTAGATCTTTAAGCGATGTGTACCTCACTTTCTTCACGTTAAATATATCGACAATAAACGAGCAGATTTGTTCCTGAAAAGAATACATTTATTTAAAAAACAACATTGAAGGAGACCAAATTATCAGGCAGTCTGAGAGAAATTTCACCTAGTAAATGATTAAGAAATTAACAGTAAGAAAAACGCTACGATTTCTAAATGAATTTCCTGCAATGCCAACACTGTCATGAACGACTATCTTTAAAAAAAAGTAAAAATAAGTCCGAGTTTGCTTTTTGTCAGAGTGATATTTTCAAATCACACAGTACAATTGTATCCCAATTCCTTTTTTCAAAACAGAGTCAAGTGATGGAAAACATTTTCATCATATTTTGAAAATCATTTCATCCACAACCACTGAAAATAAACACTAAAACAAACTTTGAAATAGTAGTATAACTCGCGTAAGTGCTCATCGGTTCCCAAGAAGCCTAAGGTAATGGATGGGGAAGCTGCTTCCGATATATCGTAGAAATGTGATATAAATCCACGAGCAACCTAAAAAAATATTTTCATGGACGAAATATGTGCAATGTTTTACAATAGAAAAAGGGAATAAACAGCATTAATTGACGTTCTAAATAGTAAGACCGTGAAAGCTGAAAAATAATACCGTAAGTCTTGCTCGTTTAGCTTTCAGCATAGACCAAATTACGGTTATTAATGTTGATTCCTTCATTGCCTGACTTAAAAACACATTTCTTGTTACAGCTAGAACAGCAGATGGCGGTCGCGAAAGATCTTCGAATGCGTCAATCAAAATATAGTCTAGAACGACGTCCCAGAATCCCAATTCTGGTACCTAAAGTAAAACGACTTCCAACCTAGATTAAAAAAAAGAAACATTAAATAGTTCCATCAACTAAAAAGATAAAATATGTTTGTGATGCTATTTTCTCCGAAGCATAGATACAGGCACCACTAACTTACTGGAGAGTTCAAGTACAGTAAAGAACGATAACTTACTCCTCTTTGTTTTAATTCTCTATCAACAATATCCATATGCTGAGTTTCATTCAAATATTCCATCATAGCGTCATAAGCTAAGTAAAACGGACTAGGGTCTTTGCTGGCGTGTCGCAATAAGTCTGCAATCAATTGACGCCCCGCTTGAGACAACCATACACGATTATGCTCATCTGATAAAATTTCCTGTAACAAGCATATTCAAGTTGGACCATTTCATAAAGCATTAGTTCAGTAATAGGAATTTATTGGAAATGCTGCGTTTTATTACATTCCATACGTAATATACACAAAACAGGGAAATAAACATTAGCAACAGCTCATCACATCATAGACAAACACGCATGGGAAATATAGCACTTCTGTAGTCCCAGTGGTCATCCAAGGATTACGTCAAATAAAACTTTTAAAAAATAGAGGTCTTTCTACGTCAAATAAAATTTTTAAAAATAGAGGTCTTTCCAGAATTTAATGAATCATAAGTACATGTAATGAGGTAAATAACAGCTCATCACACCGCATGCAAAGGCGAATAGGAAATTAGCACCATTTTTATAGAAATTCAAGCACTTACAGTGAAAGCTTGTCGTATGCACCAGACTTTGGCTTTGAAATCATCATCGTCCTCACAGCAACAAAATTCTGTTCTAAAATTAACTTAAAATCGTTGTTATGATGATTTCTTACATTGCAACGTTATATGTACATGTATTATTTACAAACAAATCATAGGTTAATTGGCTATTAAGACAAAAACATACAAAAACAGAAAAGAAATAAGTGAATGCAAAAATCTTACCTTAATTTTCTATAGTTCACTTCGCCAGTCTTCACAGCTGCTACACCCTCCTGATAGAAATGCAATACGTCTCTATCCAAGTTCAGTGGTTCACGCATCAAAACATCAGCATCATCTATACTTAGAGGCTAAAAAAAGAACATTTAATATAATCTTCAGAAGAGAAAAAGTTCAAACAAAAATCTGCCTTCATTAGCAATCTTCACAAAATCTTACAAGTTCTTCATAGGTTGACCAAAAGGAATCATCAGAAAGAACTGATAAAGTGCCTGCACGTTGCGATCCTCCCGTTGACCAAACTGAATTCAAAATAGAGTTACTGAGTTTCATATTGTGAGCGAAATCTGATTCTTCACTTAATTGAGCATAATGTAACTAATTTTGATGTCCAAACTACAACATTTGTGATCACAAAACCTACTGCCGAATACCCGAATAAAAAAACCGAAATTTCATGAATGTGAATTCAGTAGAAGCATTTTCAACTTACATGTTTCATCGCTGGGTAGAATTTCTTTTTCATAACCGCCTTCTTGTACTAGTCTTATAATGTCTGTTTCCAAAATTCGTAACCTGGAACAGAAGTTAGTTAACGATGGAATATATTAGTAAAATGCACTTCTGACTCCAGAAATCAGGACAGGAATCTTTTCATTTTACTGTAAACATTAACGTAGCTATCAGAGTAAGGTAACTGCATATAAAAGAGATAAATTACTTTGACGTTAACTATCCATAGAAATTCGTTACTTTCACCACAATAATAACTTAACAAGATAATACATTTCCTACCTTAGAAAAAAGTCTTGCTCAACAAATGCAATTTGCACAGAAAATGATATTTACAAGTGTTTTACGATTTTATGGAAAAAAAACCTGTCTACTACAGAAGAAAGTAAGTCCGCTCGTTTACAATCTTTTTCTGAACGATTTTTTATCAAATCTAATGCAGTAGCTGCTCGTTCCACCCGCTGTAATATCTCCTGCACCGACTGTAAGCCTAAAATTTGGTATTCCGAACTACAAAAAGATGAGTCACCTGTTCAACGCGAACTGACTATATAAGGAAATGCAGGAACATGGATGAAATATTGAAAGTGCACATACTGCATATTAGATCCGATTCAGCAGGTGGTATATTTCCTGACCTGGATGAATTTCGTTGTAACGATCCAACTGATGGTGCACCTCTAGTTCTACCAATTCGTACTACAATTCACTTAGTTATTAAAAATTCGTGGTACCAAAGTGATTTTTTAATTTACATAGTTGGCAAAAAATCGAACATAGTCCAGTAATCCAGATCGATTCGACCTTGGAATATTAATGTCCGAAGGACATTTAATTTAAAAAGAAGCATAAAAGTAATAAAATCCGCACTTTGAGGAACAACAAGACCATTTGGAAGGTTTTCAGTGGCATCGTTATATTCTTCAGAATCACTCCTACGAAGACTTCTCCAAAACCTCAAATTACCTTCATCTCAAATACAAGAAGTCGATAGATGTAATCGCAAAGTTACACTGTTCGAAAGCTGATTTTCCGTATGACAGACTTAAGTTTATGCAATCTCGACTTGCCAAATGTAACTTAATTTTTACTAGAAAAATAACTATTACTTCGTCTATATTGATATAACAAACAAATATGATATAACAAACAAATAATTTCATCTGCGAGTAAAATAAACAGTTACCCTTTTACATAAAAATAACCGATTACTGCAGCACCAACGCCTATTCCAAGGCCGGCAATTACTGTCGCCCTCCGAAATGTAAAATAACTACTGGATATCCGTAACTGGGAGAGGTGCATGCTATGAACTTTCCAATAATTTATGTGAATCAAAAAGCCGAAAATACACTTCGCCGCTGACCCGTATTTCAAATTTATGTCTTTGGCTTTTGAATTCTAAAACTCGAAATACCTTCGCAAGACGAATAAAAACGCCAAGCGCTATCAATGCAAAACTGAAAAAAAAAAACTATTGTTAACAATAAATCATAAATCACGTGTAATCCGTGCTACCACCAATCCGTGCTACCACCATTCTGCGTTTATTACAAAAAACCTTTTTCCGCTCTCAACGCCCTATACAATTGGACCGATGCTGTAAGTTTCCACTGTCATCAAAATTTCGCTGCAAAACTATGTTATATTCAAAAAAAAGTGAATCCACCCCGGTCCACCTTTATAAAAAAATAGAAAGTGAGCTCCATTAAATGTACTCCAGTAGTTTGAAACTGTCATTCAAGGTGTAGAAGATAACAACAGGATGCGTTAAGTATACAGTATACGTTGCAATATATGCCTTGATCGATTTTCTATTCTCAGTACTTCCCAACTCCCCTATTGCAGTGATTACCGAAGTACTACTGGTATACTCCCTACTCTTCTCTCACTTCTCCTTTCTACAAATCCAATACCAATCCAGAACCGTCCAACATCTGAAACCGCGAATCACCATCATCGAAGAAAACCGGAAATACGACCAAAACTATCTGGGAATCTCTCAATGAAAATGAGCGCATTATATCCACTTCAGCATCATTTTCTGCTTCCTTTGTGCAACAGAGGAAGTTTTTTTCCCTTCCTTTTGTTGAATTGTAATTTCACTTCAATATATTTCTCTCTCTCTCTCTCTTATAAATGAACTCATTTTATTACAACTTTATATAATTATCACAGGGCAAGAGCACAAGCATGTAAAGTGAGATGAAATGGATAAATATGAAGACAGAAGATGAAAGTGAAGCAAACGATGAAAATGTGCTGTTTTTGTTTTTCGAAAAATTAGAACTAATTTCTGAAATAGCATTGAAAGAGCTTATAGAAGTTTAATCAGTAATAAATGAGCGTTATCATTTGGGAAGAAAATGAAAGGAACCGGCGCTTCAAACTATAAAAATTAGGTCCGATCGTCCTTGTTCATACATTCTGGTATATTTTCCGGTTTGTTACATATCTTGCTTGCTGGATCCATAATCTGTCCTAAAAAAAATTTTGTTATTCTAATCGGAATTTAATGTTCGTATTAAGTCAAGCAAAAAAAAAAATAAATGAAGCAGTTCACTGGTTGCAATCGTGAGTTCTTTCTTTCTTCGAAAGTCTAAGGCTTAACGCTTTGAATGACCTCAAAGTCTTCATAATAACATGGATAAAATATAAATCTTTTAGATTTTTACCTTCTGGGCAGTTGTAAGGGAATGTAATTTTTCTACTGCATACTATGTATTCATTTCCGCAATCATTGAAATAAACGCCATCACTCAACTTTTTGCAAAATGCTGCAAATCAGAACTAAAAATGCTTGGAATATACTTTTCTGATTAATGAATAAATTTGATCCAGTTTTAAGGGAAATGTACCTTGATCGCGAATCGCTGTGCTATCTACTCGTTTAGTTTCTTCTTCCAATGAAATTTCTGACTCCATTTCAAGACGTTTTGATTCTTTCCTAGAAATAATAGAAAATATGGGTAAAAACTATAAGGTAAAAATGTTTCCAGATATTATATTGTATTTCATCTCACGTTGACATTCAACCATATGGAGAAAGTTGCTGACATGAGATTTTTTCTATGATATAAAGATTTCCTGATGTTAGTTTTAATGAGTTTTTCGAAAATTCATCAGCTTGACGGGAATAGTTCTCGCCAAAATGTTGCAAAATCCGGCATACCTTGCCCTGCGATTTTATGATCTAAATTGCAAGCAACAAGAAGAAAGTAAGCCGTCGCATGACAAAGGGATTTCAAAAAAGTTATCTGGAAAAACTTCTCGCCATCCGTCACCATTATCAACATATGGATTGTTAAATTGATGGAAAGGTTACAATTCCAACAGTGATCCAGATAAACTAAGAAATGAAGTGATCCTATACTAACTCATTAATGTCTGTCATCTTCGAACAATCTTCAACATTTTCTGCGTAATCACAGATTTGTGCTTCTTCCTTGAATATTAAATTGTGTGGACATTCAAAAAAGAACATCCGGTGATTGGCGCAAACAACGAATTCCGTTCTACATCCAATTGAATAGAAGCCATCTGCTTTCGAGCGACAGTCAAAATCTGTATGTGCAGGAAATTTTTGACGAAAATTTTAGTACTGTGTTAATACACATGCAAGTTTTGGGACCCGAAAATAATTAGAAAATATCATTAAAGGTAAAACTACGAAATTGCACAAAAGTTCCAATTATGGTCTGTAATTAATATCTCCGAAAATAGAAACGTTCCAAATTTCAAACTTGAAAATTATGAAAATCACCTTCTGGCAGGAATGGAAGAGCTTTTGTCTTAGATATCGGTACACCAATCAGTGCAGGCAAGCTGGCTTCTGGCATACGATCGCTGTGACTCTGTATTACTTTCTTCGTCTGAGTATCATAAGTCTGGAAAGCAACGCTTTGATTTTTGATTAATTAATTTCAGGATCACAAGATATAACAAATGTAAGCTTGATTTTGAAAGGCGTACTTCCACCTTTTTGTTTTCATCATCTTGATCCACTGATTGTGCGGTAGTGGTGTAATCATAAGCTTGTTTGTTAGGCATAATTCTGAAATGAAGAGCACCTAATTTAAGAATTGTGGAAGATTGGCAACATCGAAGGTTTAAAAAAAAAAAAGGAAAAAAGTTTTTACTTTGTGTTTCCCATCCTTGTAAATTTAGCCAAATTAAAAAAAGAAGTTTATTTAGTGGATGTTCATCTTTTTCCTCCTCGATTTTGGTTTGAAGCTTAGCATTAAGTTTACAGCTATAAATAACTTCGATTGGTTTCTTAACTTTTTAATAACGAATTAAAGTACATTTACACCAACCTTGAATTTTCTAAAACTAAATTACACGAAAGAACATGTTCTTTATAATTGCAATTTCGTGTTTCGCTATCAAAGAACAATCCTTCTGGACATTTCACGTGGTATCCAAGGCCCGAGGCACAAAAATAGAAGTAACTTTCACAGCCTGCTGAGAACATCCCATCACCAGTTGTATTACAGAAGTCATCTTAATATTAAAAGCATATGAATGAACAAAAAGATGGAATAAATTTAAATTTAAAAAAATTGGACTTTTACATTATAGGAACTTCTCTTCTAAATTTCGACAAATGCGAGTGATAAACTTTCGTGAATTGAAAAGGTAACAGATCAAAGACAGTCTATGATGAAATGATGATTACTACAGCAAATTTCATTTGGAAATTTATAAACCAAAAAATTTACTTAATTCTGGTGCCGGAATTATTTTAGATATTTGAATTGGATTGCCTGTAGTTGATAAGACAGGTTTTTCTGCAGTTGTGCATTCTGGCATAAATTCCATAGCAACACATTGTTTCTGCTTCACATCATATGCTTGGCCTTCCGGACATCTAAAAACGGAAACAGTTTTTATTCTTTTCAGTTTTGGTGCTCTACTCACTAATCAAATAAACAGTCGTCAATTGCCTTTTCAATGAGTAGTCGTATATCAACCCATTTCTAACAGTTAAGTTGGAGGATTTGATTTGAATTTGAACCATAGTCATCAACATTAATCAAACTGAAGTTTAATTAATAGAAAGTGGTTCGAGTATTTAGTAAGAATGAAATTATTATGAAAGTAAGTATGAATGAAATAAGTTAGTAAGGATGAAATAATTACTGAAGCTGAAAAAGTTTCCCAGCTATACAACTGTAGTAGAATCTTGAACAAGCAGAATGTCCTGCAACGCCTCCATTCAATGTGATGCAATTTGGTTCCATAGCACTTTTTACAATCAAAGAATTCCTATAAATTATTTCTCTAATAAATGTTGCTTATCTAAGATTGAAGTTAATCCTTGAAGTGTTAGCAGTACTAAATTAATAATCCGAGGGAAAATATCCCGAGGATAGTCATGAATCAATTCATATTTTTTTTTATGATAAATTCCCACCATAGAGTTTATTTGGAAAGCAACAATTAAAAATCATTGACTTATCAGTGCAGTCCTCAATATTGTTTGCTGTATCGCATTTTCTAGTAACCGTATTGAAAAACAGTTCATCTCGACAAATTCTTCCGGTAGTTTCACCACCCAAGCAACGCCAGAAATATTTGGAGCATTGTCCTCTAACCATAGGATAGTTTCCATCTCTCATTCCCGAACAATTCAGTTCTTAACAGTTAATTATGATATTGTATCAGCAAGCACAATAACTGGACGAAAAATCCATTGAGTTGTTAAATTTTTTTTCTCCGGAAATACTCGAGACATTGAAATTCTAGAATTATTCCTCGCCTTTTTTGATAATAAAATGAAAGGATCGTTTGTTAATGAAGCTTAATGACATGTGGTGACATTATCGCAAAGGCACTTTTGAATTAAGTCGCACCAAACAGTTCTCAGCATATCTTTTGCTAGGTATTATGAGATGTGTATGCAAATGTTTGGAAGTTCTGAAAGAGAAAACTGGTGATGTTTTCACTTACCTTCTCCAGGTTTCCATAAGCTTGTCTGGTAACTAAAATTAATTGATTATCACAGCACTATTGCTTCTTTTTGCATTTTAAATGAAATAATGTATTTGAAAAAAACATTTCATAGTTATTATCTAAAAAAATAATTATACTTCGTATTATTATTTATGGAACAGGTAGAGATAATTTTTATATATATCTAAGAAAATGCTAATTAGTGATGATTCAGATTGCGACCAATGCTCAGGTAAAAAGAATTTATTTTTGTTGAATCACATTCGGACTACCAAACCACCTAATTTTTTAATTTTTTGCTTCTTTTAATAACTACATATGAGTGGGACACGGCGATTTGTAAAGATTGTCTCTGATAGCTATGCTACCTGCTAATTATTACTGTAATATCATTTGCTAATTTACAATATCAAATTCAACAGTGCTGAAATGTTCTTCAAAGGAGAAAAATGAATGGATTTTACAAGGTCTGTCGGGTAGATCGTTTTTTATCACTACTGTCATGATCCCTGCTGCTTATTTCTTTGCCGAGTGACAATTTGCGCGTACCATCAATGTGTCTTTCATGAGTATCAGAAATTGGTCTATTTCTAATGGACATCAAATTTCGTTCAATATATTTTCCTACAAAAACAACATTAAAAACGGAAGGAATTGAATTCTTGAAATGCAATCAACTTTTTAATTTCAACTGAAATCATTTCAGTTGAAATTATAATTGGAATGCATTTCAATTCTGAATAAAGCTTTAAATTTTAATAAAATAAAAATACATTTTAAATCTTCAACAACCTCTTTCACCCAGATGACTCTCACGACGTTCGTTGAATCCTTGCAACGCATTCAGTACGTTACATTCATCGATACTATCAACTTCATCGCATCCTTTCAGCTTATCATTGTAGTATAAGCCAGCTGGACATAGCATTTCCGCGGAATGACCCCGAGAACAGTGATAGTAAGTTGTCGAACATTTGCCACTACCATAAACACCATCCTTTCGCTTGGAACAATCAAATGGGCCACTGTAAACAAAGCTGTGAATTAACTGCAAATACCACTAGCATAAAATTGCTAATGGAAAGTTAAGTCAGTATTAAAATTGGAATTGAATTTGAGAGAGATCAAAAAAGTACAGAGGAAAAACAATACTTACTCTGCCTTTACAATAGTCCGATCATTGTCCACGCTGAAAAATCATGAATCAAATATCAAATTTGAAATCTGATATAGAAGTACTGGGTGTAGGAGTGCAGGTAAAGTTAAATTCCAAAGGACTACTGGGATTTTAATTGTTGAAATTAATTTATTTGAAATGTTTACTTATTGATGCAAGCAATAACTTGTTTTCGTTCTTCACATTTAGCCGTTTCAACATTAAATTTCAAATCCTTGCGACATCTATAGACATAAAGCTTGCCATCGTGACATCTCATGAATTTTGATGAGCATCCACGTCCATATAGTCCTTCAGAATTGCGTTTGGTACAATCTAGGCCACCTGATTCTGCAAGCAATTTAGCCACTTCATGATTTTTATATATCTTCAAATAAAAAAATCGAATATCTTTGTCATTAAAATCTTCCAATCTTTCTACTAGAAGCATCTTTCTACTAGAAACACATAATTGGTTGTTTTTAGTGGTGCAGAATAAGTCAATAGAAATGAATAAAAGTCTAAGGAAGTGCTCTACAACATATTACTTATTATCAAGACTTTTCTATTTAATGTCATTAATCCAACTCCTATAGCTCGATTATATCCTCCTAAGATTAATTAAATATCCTTTTTTAAATTACAAAGAACTATTTAGAACATTTTCCACTAACAATGTTTCAATCATTGGTTCATATTATTTCCTCGGTTATATTATGCAGACAGAATAACTTACTTCCGGAAGCATTCTTGATCAGATTTATTTGAAGAAAAATGATCAAGAAACCAAGCAAAATCATCCTGAAATTGATGATCACTGGAAATCTGTGAGAATTTTATACTGAAAATACCAATAGCATGAAAGTGATGGATAGGAAACAAGTGAAAATGAATGATAATTCTCAAGAAATCTCATTATTAAATTTTAATCTCCGAAAAAATCTTGAAAATTCAATGCAAGCAATATCTTCCTAAAGATTTTTTCATATTTTAGATACGCATTTCCATTAAGGATTTCTCACACGAAAATGCATAAAAGTTATTATTGGAATCATATTTTTGCTTACGTCATGCGAAAGTTTTCCTATTGTAATGCACGACAATTCATCCGAAACAAACAATTTAAGACATGCTAATGCAACGAAAAATTGACTTTAATTCAAATTTTGAATTAATATAAATGGCTGAATGTATGTTAGATAGTAAATTCTAACTGACATTCATAATTAAGAATCTCTTGCATATTGACAACCACACGATCAAGATTTTATAATTAACAATGCATTATAATTTTTTCATTTGATAACATCAATATTCGGCCATAAATTAATTAAATTATCTGAAAGCTTTTAATGACAAATGCGCAATTTATAAACAGGAAAAAAAGTAGAAAAAGTGTTGGTAGTTTTGGCTATTTCAAATTGATAAACCTTTTAAAGGTAATTGTGATGAAGCAATGTTCGATTAATCATTTTTTTGAACTTTCCAATATTTAAAGTGATTCATCATTTATTTCATTTCATTTTTGATATTTTTCTATGGATTAAATTTAATTTTATCAACGATTTTTTGTTCATATGACAGGAATTGCTTGAATTCTTGCATTATCAATCAGCAAATCAGGTAAAATTGCGGTAGATTTGAGTAATGAAAATTCCCAGCATATTTGTATTTGATATGAGAGTGCTGTGCTTTTAGAATAATCTTTTGAATTATTTAATAACGGTTTCGTCTTTTCAGCTTGTTCACTCAACAGTATCAAGCAAAGTATCGCATTTAATATAAAAATGTCCATCAATCTTCCAATAATGAAAAACTTTTAAATCTAAGAGTACTACATGCCGGTATATAAAACCGATGGAACATTAAGTAAAACCGGCAGAGCATTCTACGATTTTTGAAATGGTACAATTTTCGATCAATTTTTTAACCGCAATCATACATTTTCCATACTTGATCTAATACTTGATCTTGATGGTTTTTTCGATTCCTAAAGAAAATCTTGCTATTTTGCTAATCTTGCTATTTAAGAAAATCTTGCTAATCTTGCTATTAAGAATACAATCATGATCCGTTTTTTTTTCTTTTATTTTTCTTTTTCTAAAACAGATTCCTTTTCATATTCCCTCAAATTCTGCCGATGTTACCGATTTTTTCTGCAGTAATAATATCGAGGAGCAAAGATCGGTAACAGTGTTCCGGCAGATGATGATAATCAAATAAATTAAAATGGATTTCAGGCATAAAAAAGAGAATCCGAAAACTGATATGATATGATAGAAATGATTCGAAGATCAGACTTTCTCCATTGTCAGAACGTGTAATGATGCGCAAAATGTGTCATTTCTTTAACATGTATTAAAGATTCGCATAATCTTAACGGTTGTAAAGATTCATTAATTAATTGACGAATTATGAAATATCAGTTAATTAGAAGAAAATTTCACAGAAATACTCCCTTCCAGCTGAGTTAAATTCTCAGTTGGTCTCGAAGCGCGAACTTGCATTCTGGTACAGTGCGATAGTGGCACAGCGGAATTCCTCCCGGGGAGGCATTTTTCGTAATTACATAGTCAGACTTGTCTAACGTATTCGTATCTTTATTATCACGTGTAACTTAAACCTAACTATGTTATGCTTTTCCTCTTCGCCTGAGACTTCAGATCTATTTCAGTTTTGTAATGTTTGAAATATGAGGAGTTAGAATGAGTTTATGTTTACTTACTCCAAACATTGCAACTATTTGTATCTTCATTCCTCAATTCCTATCTTTATTCTCCCATTGCATTATGAATTTTTTTGAAATCAAAGTGATAAGCATGTTTTAAATAGCATTAACTAGGCTTATTCATACTCATGGTTTGAATAACCCGTGTTGTAATGCCAGATTCAAGCTAGTTTATTAATATTTTTTGGTTGCAGAACACAAACATTATCTGAATAACACGAAGAATTTTTAAAATGGAATGAGAAATAGTCGAAAGTCATTTCTTTGCTTTGAAATGAAAGACCCAATTCTATGAGTTAGTAGGCTTTTGCTTGAAACGAAACGTTAAGAGAAATAACTCTCTGTCAGGTCTCAAAAACTGGTTTACCTTGCATTACGCCTTTATTTTTGGAGAAATGGTCATTTGTCGATGCTTCTTATCTATGAGGCTTATTTGTGTGGTTCAGTGATATCTTTAGCAAATTTTTGTCTGTATAAAGTTTGGGCTGTATTTATTCTCTGAATTAAAGATATACAGAAAATAGGTTGAACTAAATTGTTGTTCATGTAATTACTTTTCTTTCACCCCATTCCTTCAGAAACCAGTCCAATACGCAGCTCACATCCGTGAAAGATTTTTCTCAAGCTCTCACAAATTGTTTCACGAACATTTTCACTGCTTGAAGCGAAATGTTATTTAAGAAATAACTCTCGTTCAAGTTTCAAAACTGGCTTTCCTTGCACTGCGCCTTTTTAATGATTTATTATTTACAGAATTTAGCGATGCGTCATTTAAGATCTCTAGAGGTTTCTGATTGTTCTATTGCTATCATTTTACAATTTTCTGACGAACTGTATCGAAATTAGAATCAACAGAATCGTCTTTCAATTTTCGTGGCAGTTTGATCTCCAATATGTGTAACTTTGCAAAATTTGCAGGTGATAAAAAAGTACGACTATTGTGACTAACAAATCCGGTCAAAAATTATTTTTGCGACTGTTGTAACTAACAAATTTTATTCGGTCAAAAATTTAGAATTTTAAAGCTGATGGAAGAAGAAAGTCCACCGTTTGTGAGTGCTGGAGAAAATTCAGGAATAAAAGGGGAGGAACTGCAGCAATCCTCGTCATCATCTGAATGGTGCATCGATTCCGAAATACGTCTTTTCAAAAAACTCTTATCTCATAAACCAGCAGGTAAATTCTTTATGATGAGTTTTTTTCTTTGTAAATCCCGTGATTTCATCCTCTACTTGTGTCAGATATTACTCATGTTAATCGTAACATGGATGAATCTAAGATATCCAGTGTTGTCGGAGAGATAGCATGCAACAATCCACTTGTCTATTTCTTTGCAGGTCGATGCACAAGGCAGTGAAATTTCGAAACTTTGAGTATTTCTTGTTTTGAATTTTTCAGGTGTTTCAAAACATTTTCATATGGGTTGTCTTGTTGATTACATGAACAACGTTTATGAAGATGAAGATACCGATTTTGAGGATGTTTTGACATCGGAAGATTTACATGAACTCACTACCAAGAGAAATACTACAGGGAAACCACGAGTTTTTAGACCAAGATACAAAATAAGACCCACTGCTGGATTGGTCAGTCTACGTCATGCTAAATCTTCGTATTTTGCTTTATAGATCGAGTTACATTGTTGATTGAATGTAATTCAAATAACACAGCTATCATTTACATAAGTAACTTTTATTTGTCAGCGTTCACAAAACAAAAAATTACAAAACTCATAATTGTAGCTCGTAATTTTGGTTGTTTTCATTCGTTTTGTACTCCGTATTCGGGCGAGATTATTTCAATATTTGGGATAATAGAGACACTGTTATATACACATTAAATTTAATAGAATCTGTAGTATTTTCAATCCAGTTATAAAAATTAAGCCACAGTAAGTGAGTTCAGCATTTTGTGAGCCTGGAATGTTAAATGGTGTGATTTAATTCAATATTACTTTTTCAAGGCACATTTTAAAAGTTTTTTCCTTATAAGGAATTAATTTCAGATTTGGGAGAAATTAGAAAACATGTATGATATGAAGGAAATCGAAAAAAATGAGGCAATACCGGAAGGTTTGTTGGAAAAGTCGGAATTCTGCTTACCAGAAGATGATTTCGGTGATTTATTACGCAAGAAAGATGAGTTGAACAGAGGTTTCGTTGCTCCCCAAACTGGTGGTGGTCAATCAGTTCCACGGAGAAAGCAGCGGGATTCGGGTGTGTATTCTTTATTGGCGTATTGAACTTATTACAACTTTTTTCCCGCTTCGCGCATTTGGTGAGTTCGTTGTTCGGTTCTTATCGATAGCTGCTTGTAGGAAGGATTTCATTCACTCTGACATCTTTATAGCTTAATACGGAGGCACTGAGTTCTTACCATTGCCGAAATTGTGATGTGGTAGTATTGCTTCATTTTTAACATGATGTAACGATTTTAGCTTCTCTAGTTGCTGCTGGATAAACCACATTGTATTTGCCGTCAAGAAAGAAGTGGAACTTGCCAATCAAGTTATTTGATGTATTATCTATGAAATTTCGGACCCGAAAATCCAATTTCAGGAATTTATCTAGCAGGTTCATCAGTATCAAGTTCTCGCAATTTCGAAATATGTAAATTTGAATTTTTGCATGCGATGTCCTTGTTATAAAATTCGAAATGTTTTTCTGTAATTGTTTGGCGTAGCAATTAACTTAGTTGTAACCGTACCTCTCTATCATACGAAGTAACCTTTTTTCTGTGCTTATGCCTATTAGTCATTCACCAGTTAGTGTTAGAACACGAAACTTATTTACAAATTAAGATTATTACTCCAAGCAAATTAATTACTCATTTTAATTGCGCCAAAGACGTTTTTCCTATTCATATTTATGTATCTTTCGTCACAGGAATTTTTGAAGCGTAGCGAAAACCTTTTTTTTTATAGCACAATGATGATGAAGGTTTGGCAGAGAATTTCTTTTCGACGTTCTAAGAGGCCAGGCGAATTTTATAGTTAGAGAATTTTGGGAGATTATTCTTTTTTTTTCTGTCAGGAAAGTTGATTTACTTGGTAGAAATTGGAGCCGACAATCAGTAGAACAATTTATTGAGGCTAAAAAAAAGGAAAAAATGACAATTTTGTTAACAAATTGAGGGAGACGGCAGATATCTAGATTGATGAATGAATAAAATAATCCTATTGATCCTAATTCTTATATAGTTGGAATTGTTCACAAAATTGAGACATGTGATTGAGTATGCTGTAAAATATTTTAAAACAATTGGTAAGATCTTTGGTGTGCAAATAATAAGAATCCTTGAAAGCAAGGTGTTAATTAATGAGGAATGCATCAATTAATTGAGAAATACAAGACTTTTATAATACTTGAAGGAATTGGCAAATTCCTAATATACAGTAAACAGGTCTGCTTGTCAGGTCAAATAAATTAAACAGAGGATTGATTACTTAAATTATAAAAATGTTCACTATACTTCCATTTCAATCCAATCATTTTGATTTCATTCGTCCAACAATTTCACTTTCATCCAAAATATTTCTATAACACAAAAAAACTTTTCAAACTTGATGTATTTTTATATCACAAAGATATTTCGTGCTTCCACTACATTCCCTACCGAAGAAGATTAATATGCTTGGGAAGGATTTGTGGTTCATAATGAAGAGGAGTTTGTTTAATGGATGTTTCTTCTCTCGCCCCTTTTGGTAGATAAGTTTGTGCAGTTTTTATTGGAGCAGCTATAACCTCTCTTCCGTTTGGAATTTTAACGCATGATAAACAAAAATTAGATTGGATTAATTCAATTTTCATTTTCACAATAGTTATAATTGACAGTATAAAAACGCTTGCAATAATAGTGATTAGTGTAGTAAATTGTGATAATTTTTACAGTGTTACTTCCGTAGCCTTTCCAAGTCATTTTCAATTTGTTCTGCCAATTCTCCGTGTTGGCTTAGTTCTTCCAAGAAAAATTTCATCCTTTGTCGATTAGGAATTGAAGGGCGCTATTTGTTTCTTGTCCAGTATCTCAATTTCTGCGTTCTTCCTATTTCAAACTTATTATTCCTTGAATTCGGTAGTCTTTTTTTTCCGGATTTCTTAGTCCACATGACGCGATTGAAAGCTTCCTTTCACTCTGTTTGCTATTACGTCACTTCTTTGTAACAGCAGTTTTTCAGCTAAGATGGAATTGTAGGCTGATGTTCATTCAATCAACAGTAGTAAGTTATGGTTCTACCAATTTCTTTGGTGTACTACACTTAGTTGCTCTTGGAATTCTTGTTGCAAACTGTCGAAAAAATATTGAAATCTTGCATTTTCGGGTTTCCCTCTGGATTTATTTCTCCAATTATTGATTGATTTTCTTGAGCTGGATTTGAGTTTACCTTAGATTTCCGGCAGAATACTTGATCCTTTTATCGATAATAATCTCATCATTCATTAAATATAGATCAGTGAATTCACAATTCGCTGATATAATCGTTTCATTATCTTTGAAAACAAATGAGGTTTCGAGCTCATCAATCATATGATTTCCGTGTAATTTAGCATTGAAATTTCCAATCTTTCGATATAAATATTTAGTTGTTTTCTTTGCATCCCATAAAACAATAACAGTATTGGTCAGACATTTTTTTGTGTGGCACAATATTCACTGTTATCGAAATCCGAGATTAACCTTCTTCCGTCATATAGGAATATTTCTTTCATAAGTAAAAAATTTGTCGCTGAATTAGCATCTAATTCTCAACATTCATAAGAGTATTGCACATCATGGTCTGTATCCACTTATTAGGAGAAATTTGTTTTAAGGCAATTCCATTCACTTCCCTTCCATTATCTAAAGTTCTCCGAAAGTACTTGTTTGGTCAGAAACCATAGGTAATGACAGTTTGAGGAATGCTTTAGTACTACTGATATTGCTCATTTCGTTGCAGGTACTTGTACGTGCGTTGGAGTGTGCACAGCTACCTTGGTTGATTTGAAGTTTTGTTCTGAGATTTCTTCATAGTTTCATTTTTCAGAATGTTGAATAGAATACCAGAGATCCATTTACAATTTTCTTTTATTGCTGCCTAAACCGAGATTATGAAAATCATTGTTATTAAGCTTTTCATTATGAAGTTCGATTTACTCGAGATTTCTGCTTGAAGTCGTCGCTTTGTGGTTCCCCTAGTTCGTAAAACAATTAGTTCTTGTAAGGTAATTGATTCTTGTTTTCCAGCTCCTTTTGTCGTTGACTGAATTTCTAAATTTTCATCGTAATTTTCAGAGGATGTAGCATATTTATTGATCTATCGAGAAATTTTCCATGTGGCATTTCTACTGTGGCGCTTCTTATTTCTCCATCTCTTCCTGTTTCGATTTCCTTTATCCTTGTTAGCTTCCATGTACCTCTAGAAATTTTCGATTCGCTTAGTAAGACCATTTCTTCTTTGTATGAAAAAATGTCGTTGACTGGGTGTTATATTAAGAATTCATTTAGGGTGTTAAAGATTTGGGTGCTGTATTAAGTTTTCTATTTCTATTAACGTTATTGCTTCACTTTCCTAGAACAATTTCCTTCCAATAGCTCTTTTCATTGCCTTTTTTGTTAGTCCAATCATTTTTTTATAAACTCCACCGCTCCATGGAATTTAGGTGTTATATTCTTCCATATCAACCCTTCTGTCGAGAAAATTTCGTTTATGCTGAGTAGCGGGGGAAAGGTTTACTAAGTACTAGTAGTAACTATTATAATAGTATTTGATAATGAAAACAGGCTGAAATGGAGAGGTACAATCAATTTAAATGTAAAATCAATCCTCGAGTTGAACGAGACAAAGCAGGCGTTGATTTGTTCCTCGACCAAGAAGATTTATTTTTGAATGCCAAGAATGCGCTTATTGGGGCTTTTATATTGCCCATAAGTGGGTTGGGCTTACGATGAGAGAATAACTCCATTTAAGGTCTTTACAAAGCCGACAATATTTTCACAGCTGCAAGGGAAATTTGCATAAAAGATTACATTTCTTGACACGAAGAGGAATTCTATAAAAATTCACCTTGCCAGATAGATACGCAGCTTTCTCACAGTTTGTATGCAAATTAGCGGATGTGTGCAATTTCGATATCAAAGGAAAAGACATTTTCACACGATTGATCTTAGATAACAGATTCATCACTTTAGGTATAGAAAACGTTGTATATATTTTTTGTATAATGTGATGTCTTTTATAACAAATATTTTTTACAACAAATTCTTTAGCCGTTTGGACGTATTACAATTTCCTTCGGTTTTTTCGAATATTCCGTACCGAAGGAGGGAAGAAGTATTGGGAAGTGGAATATGGAGTTCATGTTGAAAGGGAATTCGTTTCTCAGTGGTTACTTCTGTAAATTTATTTGGTAAAATTAGCGTTGGAATTGCTAAAGAATTTGTTCTAGTTGGATTCTCATAGCATTTTAAACAAATTATGAATCGGATTAGTTTAAATTTCATCTTAATAGCAACAAATAATTGAAATTAAAAATACATTTATACTAGTAACAATCAATTTTCAATGCATAGTAAAGCCAATTTTTCTTCCATTAATTCTGTTGCCTTACCAATTTGAATCTCTGATTGTTCGGCAAGTTCTTCACCTCGTTGACTTTTTTCCTGGTGAGGTTCTATTTCATATTCGGTGCTGGTTGTGAGTTGTTTTTGTTATGATTAATCAATGGTCAGGAACTTTAACGAGTTGGCTTGTAGTAAGAGTTATTTGGCTTCAGTTATATTGTGTTGTAGTTGCACCAGATATTGTTGCAGTGTGAAGGGTTTGAAAGGTTTCGCTGAGTTATAGGTACACAAATTTTAACGAAAGCTTACCTTATTATGGTGGAAGGTCTTAAGGGCGTCAGTTATGCTACGAAAATGACCCTGCCGAAAAGGATTTTTTATTAATATATATAAAAGTGATGAATAAGACCAATTGAGCAAGCAGCAGAAAGGAATATCGGTGTGGAGAGCAGTTTACTAGAGAAGGGAGATAACCGTCTTGTTGATCCAGGAGCAAAGGAATTCTTCCTCTATCTTACAATGAGGTGTATATATGTGTCAAGAAGTGGGAGTATTTTACAAAAACGTTCAAAAAGGGTGTTCATTTAGATACACAGGAAGTTGTAAAGATCCAATTACAAGCATTGTAACAAGATCATATGGGAAGATTAGCATGTAAATTGGACATCTTTAGTCAAAGAAAAATAAAGATGTGAATTTCCGTTAGACAAGGATAACAAAGAAAAAAAAAACGCGTGGGAAATAATTTTAAGGGATGTAAATTGGTTAAATGACTCACACTATTGTTAACATTTATTTACAATTTGAATAAGAAATTTTATTTGGAATTTCGCGATATTGAAATTCGTGACACTCCCAAAGGAGAGAGAGAAAATTAATGTGAAACTTTGACTGAGGAGATTTCAGGTGTATAGCAAAAAGTATTAAGTTTAATAACTAAAACTCGTTCCTTATCTAAGATGGGTACGTAAAGATCCCATAGGAAGACCAACGATATTCTTTTGATTTGAACTTCGTTTACGAAAAGAATAGAATAAGGATTGGAGTAATTCGACTTTCAATTTAAGAGCAATTAATATAATTGATATCGCAACAATACTTACACAAACAGTTAATCTCCAATGTGTTATTACGCTTCCAAGTTCTTATATCGATTTAGCAACTTGGTCGAGTTCATCTTCTAATTGCTTTGACTGTTCTCCTTGTCTAGAGATTTCTTGCCAAAGAGAACCATCCCTTTGTTTATAGGATATCGAATAAATTGAATCTTGGTTGTGAGCTAAGAGTTCCAACTCTGTGTTTATTCTTTCAACTTCGAACTTATTTATCAAACCTCCTTACATCAAATGGGGATTGTCGGATCCACAATTAGTCGTGATGATTGTGTTTTCTTTGTCGATTATAAACGAGACTTGTAATTCGTTGATGACGAAGTGATCTCCATACTTCATGGCGCCGAAACTTCCGACTCTTCGATACAGACAATGACTGACTACATCATTACTGCTCCATAAAACAATACTAGTATTAGTTATACACTTTCCCCTTTGTACCATACAATGATCGGTATTATCGAGATTAGAAACTAATCCTCTACCCTCGTATAGGAATATTTCTCCTTCAGTTAATACGAAGTTCGTTGTCGATTGGCATTTAACTCCCAACCATCCATGTGAATATTGTATTATATCATCCATTTATTAGGAGAAGATTGAATCAATGCAATTCCATTTACTTGTTTTTGAACATTCATAGTTCGACAGAGTCGGGACAATATTGCCGAAGTAGTTGTCAGGTCAGATACTACTGACAGTGATAGTCTGTCTTTGAACATACCGTTCGTGTGATGTTACTGCATTTTATGGCTGGTATTCTTACATGAGTGCATGTGTGCACTACCACCTTGTACCTTTTGACGTTTTGACTAATGACATCTTCACAGTTTCATACTTCAGGAATATTAAGTACTCCGGAATTCCACTTGCAGTTCTTTATAGCTACGACTTGTATCGACATTAATGATATCATGGTTATCAATAATAGTGTTTTCACCGAAAAATTGGACTTATCTTTTGATTCGACATGAGTTTGCAGCGCTTTGGCACTTCTGGTTTGACTAGCGATAGGTCCTTCTGTTTTATTTTCCAAGTTTTCTTCTATATCCTTGGAACCATGTATTTCCATGGGGCAAAGCGTATTTATTGATCGGTCAAGTTCTTTTCCATTAGGCATTTGTATTGTGGTGCTTCTTATTCTTCCATCCATCCTCGGTTACTTTTTATTATCTTTGCTAATTTCCACATCCCACGAGGTACTTAGGGTTCAACTAGTAAAACTATTTCATTTTCACGTGGAATTCTCTTTTCTACTAATCAGGGGAGACCAGTTCTTTTTGTGTACGTTCTCTAAGACTAGTAAGGTATTCTCTCCAATACTTCCAAAAAACATCTAATATTTTAAGAGTATTGGTTCAATGTTTCACTAATTTATCCTTTGTTTTTAATGGATAAGGAATATATTCGTCTTGGTCATTGTCGTAACTTATTGGTATATCTAATGAAGCAGTAGGTGAAATAAAATCAATAGGACGTATGATTCTATGGTCATCCAAACCTACGTTAGTGGGGACGGGTATTAAGTATTCCCTCTATCTCCGCTATTAAAGTTAGTTCTCTTTCCTTTAGAGGTTTTCTTCCTATAACTTTTCTCCCTATAACTTTTCTCATAGCCCCCTTTGTGAGTCCAGTGATTAGTTCGTATACTCCACTACCCCATGGTGCTCTTGGTATACTATTTTTCCATATCATACCTTTTTCTGCTAAAAAGTTGGCATTTTCTTCCATTATTCCTTGAAGACGAGTTGGAATTGACTAACGTTATCGCTTAGGACTAAATTCGAGTATCCTTGTCGAGCCACGAATCTTCTTAAGACATATCGTGAAAATTTCTTTGATGGGTAATCCGTAGGATTGATTGTGTGTGTAGGACGTTCTGGTTAGAAGATTTATTGAACGAGTGAGATATACAGAATCGAAGCACAAAATCTTTGATAGGCTTATATGCGTTAAGAAGTGGGAAGCGATGATATTAAACACCGGAAACTGTTAAAAGCCAAATTACATAACATGCACATCGCAACAAGATCCAATGCGGAGATTAGAAGTGAATTGGGAGATTATAAGCATTATAGTATTATAAGCAGAATTATTTCCTGTACGAGAGGAAATGTAAGAAAAGAGCTTAGATAAAAAACCAGAAAAATTTAGAAATTCAATGGGAAATCTAAGGAATGTAAATTTAAATATATGAGATAAATGGTAAATCATGAATCACGAAAATATTCTTAATTTTATTTATATAAAATTTATTTTAGGTTTTCGCGACTTTCGCCACATTCCAGAGAGGGGGGCTTGATGGGTTTGAGGAATGGATAATTTGAATTATAAGATAAAGTGAGATGTCGATCATAGGAATTTTGATCTTTATGTCGATTTTAGAGGAATTTGGACCTATTTGTTGTGAAAAAAATTATTCTTTCCTTTTATCGAGTCGTTTAGATTTAGAAGGTTTAGCCTTGAGTTAGGATCAAGCAGAACTTTAATTAAAGGCTTACCTTGTGAAGACGTCGAATATACGTTATGAGGACACAGTAAAATTTACCGCTTTATTGATATAATACAGAGTTGATCAGCAGGATTATTGAAGAATAACGAGTAGGAAATCGCTTGACCGTGAGTCAAAAGCTGTTGTAAGTAAGAATAATACTATGGAAGAGCACTAGTCCAGGAAAACCTTTTTACAAAAGGGTTATATGGATAAAGAAGTAGGAGTGGTTTACATAAAACGTTAAAAAGGGGTATTCATTTAGATACAAAGAAAACTGTAAAGATGTGTATTTTCGTTAGACAAAGATAACAAAGAAACGTATGGGAGATAATTTTGAAGAATGTAATTT